TATATTCTTTAGCGATTGCTAAATAAAGAACACCCAGAAGAACTGTTCCTGCAAACACATAAGGAGAGAAGGATTTATGGAACTAAAAAGTTTGTCGATTTTTTGCATTTCGCCAAGCACACGGTAGGCACACCTGTGATGTCAAATCAAATGTCCATTCAGCAGGTTGGCTAGGAGCCGCACCCGGTAGTGATTATTGTGACTGTGCCAGTCCTGGAACGTGTGATTACTCCTCGGCAGTTGATTGGTTGCTGATTTCGTGGGCATCAGCACAGCTTCTTAGATCGTGTGATTTTAACGGCTTCAGTGGACATTAAAAGAGGAGGACGCAACAGCAGTTCCAAAAGGGATGTTATATCATGCGTTTTTATTGTGCGTTTTAGTAGATTATATAGCTTGTAAATCTGGTGAGTTAAACATTTAGTTATTTTAATACTTACTGTTCAGTATCCACTTGTTAACGTTGTTTTACTTTATCATTCAAATTGTATGCAATGTTATCACGGCAGTTAACTCTGTAGTATTCTGCCACAATTCAGCGTCCAGGGAAGTCAGAAAACCAGCATTATAACGCCGGCAAACGTTTCGTTGGTAGCGCAACTTATATATGCTTAACCCTTAGTTTTGTGTTCCACGAGACCGAGCGGGGAAAAATGGAAAGGGCTTATCGTGATTAAGAAATTGCGAACTTGATTGTTTCATTTATCAGCGCATTTAAGGGCACGTTCATTCGGCTTCGGGACAACAAATATGTTTAAATTGGTGGAAAGGTTTCAGGAAAAGTCTTTCACGGTAGAGGCATGTATAACTGGACAAGTGGACGGACCAGTGGGTCCTCTAACAGATCGGTGTACGCATATTTGCTACTGTATATGCCGATCTAATACTGGCAAGACTGTGAGCTCGTGGCTCAATGGTTGGGAGAGACCCGAGTTCAAAACTCGAGTGTGGCAGAATTTTCACCGGCAACACTGGAGTTGGGTATTACTAGCCGATGACGACAAATGAGCCAGAAAAGGCCTGCCTTGTGCCCCATGTCTTTGTCGGTAATGTCCTTCTCCCTATAATTGTATTTGTATTGTATTTGATTTTTTATTAACCTGGTATAGAGATCTACTCAATCAATTAGAGCCACAGAAGTAAACGGCAAAAGCATTTTAAACTTATCCTAGTAAAAGTATTAAAAAATATGCAATCATAAAGACTTGTGCAAAGATCTCAGGCAAATGCACCCACACAAATATTGAAGAATTCACACATTTTCATAGAATCGTTTTTAATGCACCATGCTACCCATAACGAGGATTTATTTTCTGGTAAATTACTTTGAAACATGAGCAATGTGGTCAAGTGACTGTAACACTTTTAATGATATCTGAAATTTCCAATTCATTGCACGTTTCCTTGTATGTAGTAGTTGCTGTTATTTGGCTTCCATTTTAGATGTTCTACATTTGAAAACGTATGATGCAAGGGTGTATGCAAGTTCTACTGCACCTGGAAGTGATCCTCAATATGCAGTTGACCATGACTTTAATGCCACTACTCCCACATGCTTTCAGTCTGCTGCAAACCAGACGGATTCAAACGGCTTCCATTGGTTAATAATGGACCTGGGTGCTATAACATCGGGGATAACGGAAATAAGACTGACCCTTGGCGCGGAAAAGAACGCATTCGGTACGAAAACGTGTTTATTTAACAGATCGCGGCTCTGATCTCTGTTCTGGTGGATGGCCTTTCGTACCGAAATACTGCCAATTTTTTTAATGAGCGCCACAACAAACAAATTTGAGCTATGAAGAATATTCTATTATGTTTTTCCGATAAACAATAAGATAAAATGGACGAGTGCTTAGGAAATCACTTGAGCTAAGAAGTCTTTCAGTTGAACTGCTTGAAATCTTATTTTTTTGCCGGCCCCTGAGTGGTCAAATTTATGCTGATCTATAATCTTAATGATTCTTCAACTTTACGGCATGCATCTCATTCTGATATCGGTTACTTTGCTTTGACCGACCGTTCTATTTTAGGATCTTGACAGCTTTGGGAATCAGGCAATAAACGAAGTGTAAAAGGTGGCCTGAGCTGATCTGATTATACTGCACAATATGTTCCAAGATGAAAAGAATTTTTCAAAAAGATTAAGAACGCTAAGCCAGGGATGTAGACAGGGATAATGGAGGCTGGGATGACAACTTTCGTCTTATTGGATATCGCATCCCAAAAAACTTAACTAGAAACTTGGAATATCTAACCACTTAAGATTAAAACAGTCGGGAGTCTGCTGTCCAGTACTCTCAGTTAAAAATTATCGAAAACAATTGCTCATGCTTAAATGTGTGTTCAAGTACTCTTTTTCTTTGTATTTTGTAAAAATTGCTATAATTACCATACTAGTTTTCCTTTGTTCCAGTTAAGTGTCAACAAAAGCATGGCTGCCTGAATTGTAAATAATGCACTTGAAATGATATCTGTATTTGCAAATTGTTAATGCCAATACCAGGGCTCATGCTATCACACTTTATCCTTCTGCGGTAATGTCCTCTAAATTTAATTTATGAACTAGAAGTAAAATTCTCTAGAAAATACCTTTCCCGTGTTAAGCCCACATCCTTATATAAGATGTGAGAAAAATCCACCCTTTTTTTGCGAGGTAATCCTACTATATACGCATACTGAGACCAGGTAGTCTGATGCAAATAAATGCACATTTAATTAAAACACGCTAAAGATTATCCACCAAAACAGAGGCAATTTTTTGCGGGTTTTTGACAGCACATGGCGCACCAGCCAACTTCAACTTCGCACATCAGTTTCTGAGAAAATAATGTTATTTACTATTTGCAACTGACGTTTATATCACACAGCACCTGGAGACTATGAGGACTGCGAGGATAAAATGATCGGAAAAAAATCTTCGAAAATGAAATGAAAACGTACCATAACGGTTGTCTGGGCTCTTAGATAGTGACAGCGCCAAGCGTAAAATGAAAATCTATCTGGGTAATAAGCACTACCTCATCAACTGTTAACTGAATATAGAATATGTGGATATTACTTTTTACAAATACCTTAGTAGAATTATGGAAATATTACTTCTAAAATACATACATCGCTCAATTTTAGATGCTGGCTTATGAATCAGATTACTCCAAAACACTTATAACATTTTGTAACAACTAACTTAATAAATATTATGCTGTTTTCAGCATGTTCTACGTTCTTTGCAAACCTTTATAAGTCCTATGTGACTGTTCAGAAGAGTACTCATACATCTATCATTATCTTTACGTGGAAACAATGGATATTGCAGTTTTCAAATCTTTGAATACAACGATAATGACAGGTAGGCTTCCAAATTACACGGGAATTAAAAGTATTTTTTCAGCATAATTGCGCCTTTATCAAGAACACAGTTGACGTAGACAAAAGACCTACACACTATTTTTCACCGAGAATATTTTTGTGCACACAGCGTGCAAAGTATGTTTGAATTGAATAACATAGTAATGGGATAATTAACCAAAATTTGAATAAAACACTTTTAGTTTTGTAAATAGTATTTCAGTGAGATTTTACTATAATTTACCAAACTGAATAATTCAAGTGTAGTTCTCTCAGTTTAGGCAACCTGGTTTATACTTACTCCACAACAAATACGTATTTTGTTAGTAACATTCTTTGTCTTCAAATTATTTAATTTCAGACAGGCATATCTCCGTGCTAAGAGCACTCTTCTAGTTAGCAAATAATTTTGAATGCACCTTGCTGCTACATTTGAATGATAGCATTCTAAACAGCATGCTGTAGACATTGCGTCTAAAAGATATCACCTGTTTTTTCTTGTTTTTGAGGAGGATGACATATTGCGCTCATATCATTTTGCAACGGATATGGGCCAGGTTGCACATTGTATATGCAGCACTAGTAGACATTCCGAAACGGTTCTTTATGAATAGAAAGGTAGTGGTTTAAAACCTGTCGTTGTTACAATGCTTTGAAACCAAAATATACCCTAGATCATGTACACAATTTGAAGAACACGTTATTTGCTTCGAAATGAACATTAGATAGACAGATCTGTAATGCTTCCTGTCGAATATTTTAAAATGTAGAGGCATCAAAGATCAAAAAAGCTAAATATCACATACGAAGTCCTTGCGTTACAGAGTTTCGTTTTTGCATTCATTCATTCATTTTTGCATCCTTTAAGCTACCGGTATGTTTACTTATTTTTGCCTTTGTTATCCCGGGAGGAGGAGGAAGAATAGGGGCAAGTTCCGGAGGCTAATGCATGGGATATGAGGCCGGCAATGAGACGTATTAATTCGTGGCCGGCGGAAGAGTAAGCACAATGCTGTGACGATGTAAACGAGTACATTTTCAGTATACATGCAAGTTGGTTCCAGCACTCGCTCCCACTTCTACTTTCTCCTCCGGGATGACAAATGCGAAACTATGTTTTGACTGCGGATCTGTGCGCATATTTATTTATATACATTTGAGCCTCATTTGTGTAAATTATTTGAATTGCAACTGCATTTCGATGGAAATATCATCAGACAGCAGATCTTTCGCATGTTTTGGTACCCCCGAGGACTGTTTCTGCACTTCTTACACCTCTTACAATCTATCGATGCACGTTGCCTTGGTTCAAGCACTTCGCTTAAAATTTAAGTGGGAAGTGCTGACATTAGGAAAATTACTTAACTGATATCCTATTTTCGGCTGTTTATTATGCTTTCATTTCGGGAATTTTAATCTACCATAAGGAGTAAGGAGTAATTATTGATATTTTCAGAGTACGTAGCATAGGCTAAAGTAGCTAGTCAAAAGAAATCAGTGTTTAAGTCATTATTGGTGGTATTGCATGAATCACAAAAGAAGTTTTATCCAAAGCGTACTACGAGAATAGATTTTGTACTTTATCACGGATAATGTAGCCCAACTCATTTATCCCTACAACCTGCATGTTTTGCCACGAAAACGGTGGTTATCGGGTTTTATGGGCGGGGAGTTAGGACACGCAGTG